CTCATAACCGCAACCTCTACTGCTGTCTAAATGGCCTTCTCATCTGTGTGTTCCTTTTTTTTTTTTTTCCTGAGACCAGAGTCTCACCTCTGTTACCCCAGGCGCTGGAGTGCAATGGCTCACTGCAACCCTCCGCTCGCCGGTTCCAGCGATTCTCCTGCCTCAGCCTCCCTGAGTAGCTGTGATATTACAGATGTGGACAACCATGCCCTGCTAATTTTTTGTATTTTCAGTAAAGACCAGAAGTTTCAATATTGTGTCACAATTTAAACTCAAAATATTCCAAAAAATATTAAAATATTAGAACCATATTCAATACCATATTCAATGGTATCAGTTGACTATGTGCCCTTCTATAAAAACAATCAAGGTTTGGTTGTAGCTATTTAGAAATATTACCTTTAGGAGATACTAGTTTCCTAGGGTTGTCATAGCCAACAAACTTGGTGACGACAAAAATTTATTTTCTTTACAGCCCTAGAGGCTAGAAGTCTGAAATTAAGGTGTCAGCACAGCCGTGCTCCCTCTAAATGCTCTAGGGGAGAATCCTTCCTCATCTCTTCCAGCCTCCGGTGGCTCCAGGCATCCCTTGGATGTGGCTGCATAACTGCAACTTCTACTGCTGTCTTTAGATGGCCTTCTCATCTGTGTGCTTCCTTTTTTTTTTTTTTCCTGAGACAGAGTCTCACTCTGTTACCCAGGCTGGAGTGCAATGGCTCACTGCAACCTCCGCCTCCCGGTTCCAAGCGATTCTCCTGCCTCAGCCTCCTGAGTAGTTGTGATTACAGATGTGCACCACCATACCTGGCTAATTTTTGTATTTTCAGTAAAGACAGAGTTTCACCATGTTGGCCAGGCTAGTCTCGAACTCCTGACCTCAGGTGATTCGCCCGCCTCGGCCTCCCAAAGTGCTGTGATTACAGGCATGAACCAATGTGCCCGGCCTCATCTGTGTGTTTCTTAAAAGAACAGTTGTCATTGGATTTAGGGTCTACCTGAATAATCCAGGGTGATCTTATCTTAATATTCTTAACTCAATTACATTTGCAAAGACCCTTTTTCGAATAAGCCCACATTCACTATTTCTAGGGATTAGGACATGGACAGATCTTCTGTCATCATTCAACCCACTGCAAGAAATTTAATGTCTTTAAAGTGTTGCCATGTAAATGTATTAACAGCGGAAATCTCAACAATTTGTGTAGGGTAAAAAGTGAATCAAAATCTGAATTACTGCATGAAATGGAAACAGACCAAGAAGCAGTTTTAGGATGTGCTGAAAAATGACAAATCTCATGAATTAAGATAAATTTTTGAAATGCATGCCACTGGTATGCTTTTTTCCACCTTAGGAATACTGGATTTGGATCTCAAATTGAAGACAAAGTTAACAATTTTAAGGCCATAAGAACTCCTTCCCCATTCAAGAAGAGCAAGGAGTGTGGAAGGAGCACCTGTGGGGGCTTTAGAAATCCTCTTCCCTTCATCCAGGGCACCAGCACTGGTGCAGTTTACGTAGGAGGTATAAACCAAGACAGAGGAATCTCGCCCAGGTCAAGCTTGCCCTTTCCCAACTAGCAGCATGGCCTCTCTTGTAGCCTCTCTCTAGATCTTATGGTTGGGAGTGGAAATTTACTAAAGGAAGAGAAGGGAAGCTGGCCGTGCATTGGTTCAAGGAGTAAAAGAAATCTCTGCACTTTTAGACGGAATTCCTGCATTGCCTTGTAGGAAACATTTCCACTGAATATAAACATCTGATAGCTCTCAGTGGCAAATATTTTTGTCAAAACAGTTGTAAGAGAGGATCAGATTTAAAAAAATTTATAATAAGATGTTACAAGTGTTGTTCTATGAAATCTCAGATAAAAAATAAAAAATGCTGCCTGAATTGGGCCATAAAAGGTGAGTAGACCTGTGTACATATAACAATGGGAAAAATATATTCTGGGAAAAGAGGACAGATTTAGGAAAGCCCTTAATATGCACATAAAGGGTTAGAATTTAAACATGCATATAAAATATATATGAAATATATATTATGTAAAAATATATTACATATATGAGAGAAGGATGGAAGATTAAAACAGAAGGTAAACGGGATTCTATAGATGGCCTTGTATTTTTTTTTTTTTTGAGACGGAGTCTTGCTCTGTCACCCAGGCTGAAGTGCAGTGGCATGATCTCAGCTCACTGCAAGCTCCACCTCCTGGGTTCAAGCAATTCTCCTGTCTCAGCCTCTCGAGTAGCTGGGGTTACAGGAGCGTGCCACCACGCCTGGCTAATTTTTGTATTTTTAGTAGAGACAGGGTTTCACCATATTGGTCAGGCTGGTCTCGAACTCCTGACCTCAGGTGATCTGCCTGCCTCGGCCTCACGAAGTGCTGGGATTACAGATATGAGCCACCACGCCTGGCCAGCCTTGTATGTTTTAGTATAGAGTTTCAACTTTACAACTTCTAATGGTTCCTCATTACCCACAGGGAGGCAGGAAATGATCTCATGAGATACATTTTATAATGACTCTCGTTGCCATGTAGAAGTTAGATTCAAAGAGTTAAGACTAGAGGCAGGAAGACAACTAGGAAGCCATTGCAATCATCCAAGTGAGAGATGCTGAATGCCTGAATTAGGAAAGCAGTAAGTAATATAGAAATAAAGAAACGGATATGAGCAGTATTTGGAAGTTCAAACTGACATGACCTTGATAACTACTGGACTGTCAAGGTCATGTGCTATGCTTCATTAGGACTCTGATACCTATCTGGCATAGGAATATGTTTACTTAGTTAGCCCTTGTGGGAGTTAGTATCCAAAGATGTCCCCAAAATCCTGCTTCTGATATTCATGCCCTTGTGTAGTTCCCTTCCATGTTGAGTCTGGGCTGGCTCCATGACTCAGTTTTAATTATATTTACAGAGGCCCCTTTTCCAAGTAACGTCACATTCATGGTTCTTATGTGTGCATGAGAATGCAGTAGAAATAATATTGTGGCAGTTCTGGCCTAAACATTAAAAATGCCTGGCACTTTCCACTTTTGTGATATTGGAAGCCCTGAGCCACCAGGTAAGTTGTACCCTAGAGAGATCTTGAGGAGAGACCACATGCAGAGGCCATGTGTAATGAAAGCCCTGAGAATAGTTGGGATGAGAGATGAGCCCAGCCTTCCACATTCCCACCAAAGCTCCAGGTACGGCAGTGAGCTCCAGGGGTTCTAGTCAGGCAAGCCCCCAGAGGACCCTAGCTGCAGTCAACATCACAAGGAGCAGAAGTGTCATGAGATAGTAAAATGGCACTTGCTTAAGTGAGTTGTAGAATAGTTTGTTATTCAGCAAGCCACAAAAGCTCTGGAGTGCAATGAAAAATAGTCTTTTTGAGAACTTGTGAGAAATCAACAATAAAAATGTATGCTTCCTCTGTCTGATCTCTGCTAGTCTCTAATAGCTTGACCTGAAGCATCTGCCGGTTTCACCGAACTTCTTTTCAAAAGCCATCCTTGTGCTTCTGTACCGGCACAGAAGACGTGGTGGCAATGATCAGAGGTAACAAGAGCTCTGTGCTACCACAGCACAGGAGCACGTGGCTGATTGTTCAGGTTGGGGCCCTGCAATCAACAGAGATCTGTGTCTCTCATTTAACATGATTTTTATATTTCACTCACTCTTCTCATTCCATGTGGCTAAACTAACAAAATTTACAAGAACATGCCTGTCTGTGTCTCTATAAATAATCAGAATTTAACACGTTATTTTCAATTGCAGATCAGTTTTAGAATCCAAAGAGATGGAAAATTTTGGTCCATATTTATTTGGTTACATACAGCTTTCATAAAGATAGGGATATTTTTGTAAGGACTGTGCGACTACGATTTTACACTTTTTGGCGTTGGATGTCGTGGCGTGGGGAAGATCTTCTACTCTATCGTCGGGGTTACGCAGGGCAGATGTTCTCAAGGAAGCTGAGGTCATAGGCCTTGGGTTTCAAGCAGCATCGACACACTGAAGAGTTGGCATATGAATGTAATTCAATCTTTCTATGTGTGCGTTCGAATGCAGAGACTGTGAGGCATTGTGTTGCAGGACCACAACAATGAGTCAGACGGTTCATCTTTGTTATTAACCCAACGCCCTGTCTGGGGCCAATTTAGAGTAGTTCTGAAGCCCATGGATCATTGCTGAGAATATGATTAATACCATTGATCTTTATGCCATAAATAATGGACGAGGCTGGTTTGGGATTGAACAGCTGGAACAGTGGATGCCCCGAGTCTCTTTGTTGTTCTTGTCGTCCACGCCAGCAACACCTTAAGTTCGCTTGTAACAATGGAACCATAGGCTTCTCCTGCAAAGTCCTGCGTGCTATTAGCCCTTCCGTATTTGCATAATGTTCAATAGTATTACAATAATTACTGACTTCCCAATCGATGAGAAGTCAAAATAGATTCAAAAATATTAATCCTTTCTGTGAATTAAAGAGTTTTAGATAAAACATGTATTTACTCTTTCTTTGACTTTGGGAAAATATATAATCATAAACTAATGTTCTGAGAGGAAGGTCCGCACGCGAAGATTGTATACAACTCCATCATATTCTCAAAATGTATCGATTTTTTTTCCTAAGATGATGTGACTAGATAACAACGCATTATGAGATTTTTTAAGAAGCATAAATTCCAGAAAATGAATCTGGAGAGAAAGTGCTCTAATAGCAGGCATATTATGGAAAATGAGACAGGAAGCTGGATAATCAATTATTATATGTAGGAGTGTTCATGAGAAAGGTTAAATTCTCAGCTTTTAGATGAGAAAGCCCGAGAAACGAAGTTACTTCATTTCTTAAACAACCCCAAGAAGCTTGACTATTATATGCCCTCTAGCAGAATACCAATGGGATCCCTTAAACTGGTGGGTTGTTTGGAAACCTGCAAAAAGAGTAGCAGAGGTCCACAAACTCAGCGCTGCTGAATACACATCTGAAATTACAACATGAAGAGAACTTCGGAGTAATGAGAGTGCAGTGTAGTTCTTCCAATATCATAATCCGTGGTACAACTGTGGGGGATAGACCACTGTTAGATAGGGAAGCTCCCTTCATCAGGTGCTCCGGTGGTATAGATATTATGAGTGATATTTAAAATTGGAAAGAATAGGACCAACATGTAAGAAGGATAATAAAAATACAAATGTTCCTGTAGGGGGAAAGTTGAACTAAAGCAAAACCAAAATCCCCAATGGATTAAAGGAGGCAGCATCACCTGTTCTGGTATTAAACATGTGTATTTCCATGCCAGGTGTGTGAGGAAGGGGCATGTCGACATGCTCCATTTGTGCTGTGATAAAATGTAATAGAAGAATTCGTTTTCAGGATATAGCAACCATGAGGGGATAAATGTTACTGTTATTTACCCAGATTGTTTTAGGAGGATTGAGTAACATTGGGTTCTTTCAGAATCATGCAAAGAGAGCAGGCAGTGATCCTGACTCCATGACGTGGTTAATGTGTTGTTGGGAGCTGGGTTAGTATTGGTTAGTAACAGCCCAGTTACCAGGTCATGTGTTACGCCTTCATTAGCACTCTCGACATCTGTCTGTCATACAGAAATAGTTTACTTAATTAGCCTTGTGGTAGTAAGCTATGATCACTAGCATGCTTATTTTCTCCATGTTAGGCATAATCCTCTTGAAAACAAAAACGGTAACTCAATACGGATTTGTCTTTTCCATCCTACTATGGTTCTTTGCCAATGCTGGTAATAGTGCAACACCAGACCAGGTTTGCGTATGGGCTGCAGGTGCCTGAACAGCACTGTGCAAAGGCACAGAGGTATGTGCTGAGTCTTCAGGCGGGATCCTTTGATGTACAAATAGCTGTAACCCTCCTTGGTATTAAGAGTGACACTTACTCGTCCTTTCTTCTTTTCATCCCCCATTTAAAGTCATTACAAACAAGGCCTTGGGGATTTTTGCAGTTTCCAATCTGACCAGTGCAAGACATAAAAATTCTGGAAGGGAAGCTGCAGGTGAAGTTGGTGTCTGTCTCCCACCTGAACATGCAGTGGACGGGGACTTTGTTCCACGTTCAGGATGCTGCTCACGCCTGTTTTATTAAAAAGAGTCAGACATAGAAATTGGTGTCTCTACAGGGTTTGCATTTTCTTCACACATCCCCCAAATAAAACCTAGAGTGTCTGACTGCATCCTCCTCTTTCCTCATCATCACCCAGACTGAGAACGTCTCCTGTAACCCTGACTTACAGTCAAGATTGAAGCCAGAGAAGTAATGGGGCTGCCAAAGGATTCTTCTCCATGTTTCCTGCTCACATACCCTCAGCAGAAAACGTTTTGCAGTCAAAATCTGTGGAAGTATTCTGCTTCAGAAAACAGGATTCTGCATCTGGTCGCCTAGCCAATCAGAGACCAGCTCCTATAAATGTCCTTGAAACACTCTGCCCTATCCAGTTCCTGTGGTTCACAAAGAGGGTCGAAGTAACTGCTTTCTTCAGGCCAACTTCATAAACTTTGAGGAAATCCCCATGAGTCTGGAACACAAAGATAATTGACAACCTTTCAGAAAGTGCGCTGCCTAACTGTGGACCGCTACTATTCAAATTCAGAGGGAGTTACAAGTGGAATGGCAATTTGTGGCAGGAAAAGCACTTTTCTTTGAATCTTCAAACATTGAAAAACAACTTTTGAATCCCCCTCAAATTATAAATGTGTGCACATCTAACGCTTTCTCTTTATGTACATTACTTAACAAGAAAGTCACGCAATAGAGACATTACTGTTTCCAATTTACAACAAAATAACCCAAAGCTCAAGGAGATTGAATAATTCACTCAAGGTCAATTACCTAAGTGGCATATTAAGAATTAGAACGTATATCTGTCTAGCTCTAGACTTTATAATTTGGAATCTGATATGCCACCTACATTTGTGATGCACCATGAATGTTTTACATGTTAGATATGTTCTAAAAATAATGGAAGTCTAATTTGTGGATATTCTTTATAATGGCTAAAAAATGAGAACAACCCAAATGTCCATCAGCTGGTGAATGAATATGCAAAATGCAGCATATTCATTCAAGATATGAATGATATTCGACAACAAAAATAAATCAAGAATAAACAAAATAAATAAGAAAAATGAAATAAATAAAATAAAACATTTAATATATGCTACAACACAGATGAGTCTCAAAAATACTGTTTTAAGAAAAAGAAGCCAGCCACAAAAGATTACGTATTGAGTGATTCCATTTATATGAAATGTTCAGAAAAGGAACATTATCTATAAAGACTCAAGCTGGTTGCCTGGGGCCAGGGTTGGTTTAGGGATTAACTATAGTTTGGCATGAGGGATCTTTCCAGAGTGTTTACAAATAGATTATGTATTTACAAATAGATTATGTAAAAGTATTTACAAATAGATTATGGTAATAGTTTCATAAATCAGTTATTAATTAAAAATCATTGAACCATACATTCAAAATGGATGAATTTATGGCCGTCCATTATGACGGCTCTCTAGATCTTCCTTACACCCATACCTTATCCTTTCCTGGGAGAAAGCTAGAAGTCTAACCTCTGACGATCTTCTAACTCTGTTCTAATTTTTAGAACATGATTTAATTGTATGTGGAAAGTGCTGTCCCCTGATATATAGTACAAACCCCCATGCTGTTTCCTTTGCTTATTTCAGTTGTTTCCTGAAAGTTTTAAAGGCACTTCATACACAAAATACCTAGAGGTTGAATTTATATTCTGAAAAATTAATTAATGCCTCTCTTAACGCTAAGAAA